CCCCGGACCAGGATTTGAACCGGTGACCTTCTTGCTGAGAGGCATCAGCTCTACCAACTGAGCCACCGTGCCGCCCTTGACAAATTAATGATCAAAAATTGGACAAAAAACTAAGATTTATGTGTAATTTTATCCAGATGTCTTGCCATGATTAATTGTTTATACTGACAGCCTGTTCCTCAAAAGATGGTGTTGCACTTGTATCACAGTGCTCTATCTTCTGGAGGGGGCATCGCCTCTATTCTATATACCTCATTGATGGTAACACTTTACTGAATATTTGTGCTGTACAAATAGGATATAGAGAAGAACAACTTGCTTTTTCAACCATTATGCTGTATTATGCTGTATTCTATAACAATTAATTATTGTTTTAAAGCACATGTAAACCAACGGCCGAAGAGAAGAGAACACATTTACATGCAGTTTTAAAACTTATTATTTTTGTGACTCATTAAGTTTTTTTTTTGTCAAACTTATTTAAACAACTTGCTGTGCAAACTGTTGGCACCAAAAAGTGTCACAGAAACAGTTTGTGAAAGCAGCACTTTGCTTGGAGCGCAGGATGTGATTCCAGGTTTCCTGATTCTTTGACTGCAATTGTTATTGTGGTGCAGAGGAAGGAAAGCAACAGAAGTTTCCTTTAAAAGAGGAAGGCGCCCCTTTCCGTTCTGGAGAAGAAAACATTTTTTTTTTGAAGGCGGGACAGGAGAGAGTTGGAACAAACGTGCAGAAACGGTTTGCTTTCAGTTTAGAAGTTAGTTYCACTTATTGGAGGCTAAACACATCACTTTATCAGGTAAGAAGAGAGATTATTCTCATTCAGTGTTATATAATATCAATATTAATATTTTTTCATTAATCCAAGATAGATGCTGTCACTTTTATTATTAAATATGTATGTTGGAGAGGCTATTTAATAGCAACACTTGTCATATTGTTTCTTTATTGCATGTATAGTGACTGCTTTCTGTTTTCAAACATATTCCAGTCATTATGTTTGTATGTCAAATAATTAGACCCCCCCCCCCAATAAAAATATATATTTTTTAAACTGTGCAGAATCCTAAATTGCTGCTTATGTGCACAGAAGAAATAACAGTGGTGATATTTCCCACCGCCAAAGGAAAAATATTTCAAAGGGTGAAAATGTTTGTGTTTGTATGTGTGTTAGCTGAATATCTCATGAACCAGTGAACAGACAGTTTTGGTTAAAGTAACCATTGGGTGAACAACTACAACTGAATAACCTTTGTAGTAACCCTAAATCAAGATGGCTGTCATAGGTATTCGACATTAGCGACACAAAAAATGTCTACAACTGTCAGTTTGACCGATATTAAGTTTATGTTTGGTTTAGTAGTAAGTGACAGTCCTTCACAACACACTCTTAATGCTATCAAATCTTGCAAAAATATTATATTGCAAAGACTGTGCCTACTGTTATTTTTTTTATTTGATGGATTTTAGTTTGAAACTTTGACATAAAAGGTGGAGGGCTATATGTGTTCATTTAAGGAACTTTACATTAAATAATGTATCCCTGCAATAGAACACAAAGGGTTTAATCGAGTGCTTTATTGATACTCTTTGAAGTGATGCTTCAGTTTGCATTACTGCTGATGAGATTTTTTATATATATGATGCACATCTTTATAGGACTTTTCTTTGCTGGTCTCTTTTGTATTGTGAAAATAGTTTTGGTAATATGAAGCTGCACACCAAACAATTTTATTTTAAAACTCTGGCATGAAAGGTGGTGGTTGATATGCAAAGAATTAAATATCAGTCCTGCACATCTCGTCCACTGCTAGCATCTGTGACAACATGGAAGAGTAAAARCAAACTCATGTTCGTCATTGTAGCTATTTGATTAACAGGAAGCTCAACTGGATCTGTCACAAATGATCTGATATGTTTACAATAAATTAATATAATTGCTAATTATTTTAATTCCATTCAGGAATCATGTAAAACAGCTAAATATACAAGATTATATAAATTATAAGTAACAATGATCTAAATCAGACCTGAAGTCAGTGAATCTTTTTTAGCTAGTTGAAAAATGATGACTTCAACTACTAATAAAGTGATTTATTATTTCTTTCTGACATAAATAATACAAATAATATTTACCAGTCAACACTTAAAATGTTCACTGCATTTGCGGTTAAAGGATGAAATTCGTTTCTACTTAWATTGGCTAACTATCTTCTCAACATGCCAGGTTTGTCTAATAAAACATCCTGTCCTGTCCTATCCTAAAAGTAGTAAAATATATAATTTATACTGAGTAAATATTACATAAATCAGAGGCAAAACCAGCTTGTAATATTTAACAATTTGTGTTCAATCATGGCATGATTCAGTAGCACTGTGTATAACAATATGCTACAGAAGCTAATACATCTCTGCTAACCTTTTTGTTAGCCCTGCTAACTGTTACATTATAACGTCAGTTCTGGTCAGATCACATTCACATTGAGGTAAATAAAATAAAATCTGCTTACTTGTGAAATGAGACGTGTTTTCCTGTTTATCTTTTAGAGTGTCCATTYACAAATTGTCACATAWGGTCCGTGTACTTTTTGGTCATTCGTTTTTCATTTTAAATACGGATGGTTGTTTTTAAACAAAACTGAAAATGTAAAATAACATTTCTTTTTCCTTTGAAATCAAATCAAAGCGGTCCGTCTTTTTTTTCTTAAACTGGAAATTTAACAGCGTCAAGACAACTAAAGGCTGATGTGGCTTCTTCACCATGGACCTTTAGGGGAAGGCTTTCATGTTAAAGCACCAGAAGCTCCAGGAAACAGTCAGTGCCACGTTTGAATCATCAGTATATATTATCTGCATTGATGCATTGCGTGTTTTAGCTAAAATGGTCATTCAATGGTCTTCATCCCAAATATATCAGGCCATAGGGCCAGTAAAATAACAAAAATAATACATAAATTAGCTGTCCTAGATATTAAAAATGCAGTCTGTAGTTAAGTTACAAGTTCGCATCGAAGAGGTAACCTAGCTAGCTGGGTTAAGTTTATAAAAACAGGACAAAGTTGGAAACGCTGTTAGTTTTCACCTTACAAATTYGACTAAATTAGTCTGCAGTTAGTAGTCTGTAGTTTTTTCAGGAAAGCTTTTGCTAATTTTGGAGAAGTTATGGTAAGAATAACATCGATATTGTTTGTAATTTTTTTTATAATAAATACTTTCTGTGTTGAAACAATGCATAATTACTTAAAATATTTTTCATAGTACATTTAAACCGTGTTAAAAATTTGTACATCAAACTTGATACTGCAGGTACATAAGTTGCTCCAGTCCTGAATTGTCATGTGACATTTTCGTAATTTTAGTAATATAACCAACAGTATTCTTGCCGCAACACAACCACACACTATTTTAGATGATTGATTAATTACTGAAAATGCCATTTGAAAACACATTTTGGCTATTTTCAAAGTGGTTCCTTTGAAATTATGATCTCTACGCTGTACTGACTAATTATTTATGTGTTACAAATTTATGTGTTATAAAGTGTAAGGTACATCTGTGACTGAACAAGGACAGAAACTGTTTTTTTACCTACCATGAAGTGAAAAAAATGGCTGCAAAAACTTCATTGTAAAAAAAAAAAAAGAAGAAGTAAATTTGTGAAAAGTTATGGGCAAAACTGTCTTTTGTTTCTTAATTTAACTTTGTTGTGAACAAAATGTTACCAAAACAGCCCAGTGTATCAGATTTGATACAAAAAAATATATCATTAAAAAAATGATGTGGCAAAAAWTTTTTTTTGGATTTTGTTTAATGGCCCAAAAAAACATGTCAGTTTTTAAAAATGGGAATATTCTGACTATTTTTTAAAGGATCAGGCTTTAAAGGGTTAAGAAAAAACATTCTGTTCCGTTTTGCAGTAACTTTCTTGATAAATATGGAAAATTTGATGCTGCAAAAAATGTATACCTGACAGATGGTTTTTCGGTCTGTCCAATCWGGGCCAATCTGGCTGTCAGTTCAATCAAGTTGAAAAATAACAGATAAAGGTTAGTTATAAAATTTACCCATCTGTCTTTTCTATTGTTCCTGTTGAAGTGTGGGAAATATTCACACACACACACATTTTATTTTTTACCATTATTTTACCAGGCAAGTGCCATTGAGATCTCAAATCTCTTTTTCAAGGGAGGCCTGGGCCTGAAGGTAACCTATTGTACATGTTTTAGGGTGTGGGGGAAACTGGAGTACCCAGAGAAAACCCACGCAAGAACGAAGAGAACATGCACACTCCGCACAGAAAGACCCCAGGTCCTAACCGGGGATCGAACTCAGGACCTTCTTGTTGTGGGGCGTCAGTACTAACCACTGAGCCATCGTGCTGCCACACACACAAAAGGGGGAAATTACAGTCAGAGAATGARAATCAGAGTTTATGTGGAGCCTGAGTGGAGAATATTTTGCTCTTTTTTTCTGTATAATTGTTCTTTTTATGCTTCTACACTTGTGAATATGGGCATTCATGAAAGATGTATCACAACACCAGGTTGAATCCAAATCTGTTGTGGGAGGTGATGTGGGTGGAGAAGTGTATGAGCATCAAAGTCAGATTTGCCTCTCTCCTTTGTCCTCACAGTGAAAATTAGAAATCAAATATGAGGCTAGATTTAAACACTTTTACCAATATTATTTAAAATCACTGCATTTTTGCTGCGCAATGATAAAAACGGGAACGGAGGTACAAAACATATTCTCTGATAATCCAGATCAAAATCTATAAATCTGGAGAAAATGCTGGGCAACATCATAAGGATTGAAAAGTACTTTTGTATTATAAATTTTAATAGAAGCTCTACTGAGCAATGTAAGAGTCATGGGCATTAGTGGTGCATTATTATCATCTGCTGCCAGAGGAAAAGGTAGAGTGATAAGGTAATTTTGCCTGCATCTTTATGTGTGTGTTTGTCTGTCTGGACCGTTTACAAAATATCTTATAACTCACCATTTTTCAGAATAATCAACAATTAATAACTACAAATATTCAACATGAAAGGTGGCAGGGAGAAATTCACTCTTATGAGGAATACTCAGACTTCAGTACTCTTTGAATGTGAGGTGTAGTAACAGGYTCCTAATTATCTACAACGGTGCAGGTTTCAGTTAATCCAGCTTTATTAAAAACGTCAAACAGAAAAAGTGATGCTGTTTTCTGCTGCTCCAACTGTGGAACAGGCAGCTTACCCACCTTGAAGGTTGATCGGGCCATAGTTTTTCACTTTAATCGCAGCAGCTTTCAAGCAAGTGACTGAAACAGAATATTTCTTTCTGCATGGCTACCTTACACTGAGATGCCCCCCCCCCCCCCCCCCATGGGATTCTGTTTGATGTGAGACCAGCAGACGGTGCTGTGAAATTAATTTCCTTTGCTTTCGATGGTGTGAGTTTACGTCTGCTATCTGAGAGACATCCCTGCCTCTTATTTTTTTATACCAATTTAGTTAATGCATTTATTGCAAAACATTTTAGCTTAAAATTGTATTTTTATTCATGGCGTAAACCCTCTTGTGTCTGTTAGCAAAATATCTCATGGACCACTTGACAGATTTTAAAGAAGCACTCAGAAGCTAATCACTGAATGCACATCTACCCAATTTAAGATGGCCGTTACAGTCAACTGGATTAAAGAAACACAAACGTGGCTATAACTCAGCAAGTTTTACAGATAKTTAACCAAAGTTTGTTGTGATACCAGTAGACACTAATTCTCACCGCTATATCTGAGTGAACCAGATTACCATTTTACATGAGATTTACAAGGTTTGAGCAAAGTCCAACCCTTTTCATCACAACACAGTAGTCTAAAACCATGAAAGGCAGCGGGTGATATGCATTCCCTCAAAAAAAGAAAAAAAACAAACAATACTTTTAATTTTAAAAGCATTTGGCATTCTTCCTTTGTTCACTCTTTTAACAGCAGCAGTTTTTGCTTTGCTAAGGTGTGATCTCATCATCCTGGCTCCATGRTACCTCACCTCCCTGTAGCAGCATTGCTGCGTTATCACTCCCAAATAGAGAAACATGCATGTTCTCACACTGAGCGGCGGTGGAGGGGTGTAGAAAGAGCTTTAGGGCTCTTCTCATTTCTATTCCAGAGTATATGTGCCCATCTTTAACAGAGTGTGTGTATGATGGTGTGTTCACAGGAGAGACGAGCAGAGAGGGAGAGAGACAGCAAGCCAGAGGAGGCGAAGGGGAGGGAGGACAGATCATGCATGTGCATTAACTCAGCTCCAGCGGCAGCAGCAAACAGAAACAGCAGCAGCACAGGAGGGAAGGAGAGAAAGAGACAGACAAGGAGGGAGAGTTGGAGGGAGGCTTAGGAACAAAAGCTGCAGAGAGCTGCTTTATTTCTCGGCTAAAAGAACAGCGGAGGTGTAACACAAAAAGGAGGAGGTGATCATGATAGTAGTGAGACAATAACCGAGGAGAGGAGGTACATTGTTAGTCAGAGCTCTTCTCTTCTCTGCTCTCCATGTTCTTGGGGACTCAACACTCCACTGCCTTCATCTCTCCAAACCCAGAAGAGGATGTCCGTGTCAGGAAAGAAGGAGTTTGACGTGAAACAGATCCTCAGGCTGCGCTGGCGCTGGTTCAGCCATTCATCCCAAGGTTCTGCCGGTGGTGGAGGGGGCGGAGGTGGCGGCGGTGTGGGAGGCTACATCCAGCAGGATGGCCTGGACCACAGAGGGACCCCTGTCCAGGGACGGCTGAAGAGCCACTCAAGGGAGAGAGGCATCGGGGGGTTGAGGAAGACCAACAGCCCTGTCCACAGCGTCACGCCGCAAACGCCCGGGCCAACACCTGTCTACGTCAGGACGGGTCATCAGTCGTGGCATCACCTGCCCAACACCATCCAAGGCCTGCAGGTGAATGAGGAGGCTCCAAAGAGTATTTCCTCTCCCAGCGCTACAAGGAAAGAGGAACCAAACACTGGCCAGAAAGATGTGAAAAGCAGTACAGAGGAACCTGCAGAGGTGGAGGCCAGAGACAGGTATGAATTCAGAGCTACTTTAGGAGACCAGAAGTGTCTCTTTTCAGAAAATTACTCAAGAATCTGATTTTTTTCGTACTATTAATGGAAATCGTGTTCCGTTTACATTTTAAAATAACACTGCAGATGTTAACTGTTCAAAAAAATCTTCATCAAATAGAAAAAAGCCTGTTTGCTGATGCAGCATCATGTGATTAAAATGCGTTGAATCCTTACTTATGTTACGTAACATCATAGTTAAAATTTGTTTACATTTCTTGAAACTCAAGACATTTGGAAAAAAAAACCATCTGCTACTTTTTAACTTCTTAGTTTCAGTGTCGTCCTGCATGAAGTGACTAAAATTGAGCTAAAGCGAAGCTGTAGAAATGGCATTTTCTGCAAAACTGCAGTGTAAATGCTGAGTGCTGAACAACTCTGCTGATTTGCTGAAAAAGCTGAAACGGAGTTGTCAAAGTTAAAAAAACATCAGCTAAATGCTAAATTGAGCAAAGCTTTAAAAGAAAGATAAATTAACAAAAGGCTAGCTAATAGTTATAATTAGCAAAAAGGCATGCTGTAAGCTGAAAGTTAAAAAAATGCTAACTAAAGGTAGCAGAAAGGTAGATAAAGTATCAAAAGTCTTGCTAATTAGCAAAAGGTTGGCTAAAAGCTGAAAGTTGCAAAATGTTAGCTAAAAGCTATCCAAAATTATTAAAAGGCTAGCTAGACGCAGTAGCAAGGTAGCAAAATGTGAGCGACAAAAGCGAAAACTAGCAAAACAGTAGCTAACAGCTAATCGTACCAAAATACTTACTAAAAGCAAAAGCCAGCAAAATGATAGCTAAAAACTAAATTTAGCATAAGAAGACTAAAAAAAAAAAAAAAAAACAGAGCAAGTGTACTTAATCAGATTTCAAGGAGAACAATATTTTAATGGAAACAAAGTGAACATAATGTAATTCTATGTGCAAAATATTTGTAAATAAAGATAAGTATTTCGAAAAGTATACAAGTTACAAAAGTCAAGAGTCATTACATCCATCTCCTGAATGAGTAAAACATTTATGAATGGCTAAAATAGCACAAATGTGAATGTAGTTGGAGTGCAGAAAACAGAAAAAAACAGGATTGCTATAGTCCACACAGGTATCATTTTCCATGTTTCTCTCAGGGCTCTCTGCTGCCTTCATGGCTCACCTGGGGACAGCTCCATCTCATCCTCCACACATGTTCGGCAGGATAAACCAATAACACATCTCTTTAATTATTCATTGAACTAAAAGCCAGTGCCTTTACTGCTTCCTTCATTTCTGTTCTGTGGCCCAGATCACACTCCAATTGCACCTTTGATCTCTCTGTTTAGTTCTCACACAAATGCATTTTCCCATGTAGTGAAAAGTGGGAGAATCACTAAATCACATAACACGTCTCGGATCTATAAAAAGATGCACGAGTTAAATCACATGCATTATCCTGTGAGCCTGTTTATGAGCTAAAAGCTATCACAGCTAGTGAATCGCACAGAATCCTAATCTGCTCACAAATCCTTATGCTGAACTCTCCTAAACCAATTTTCCAGGGATAAATCCCATTCTCTGTCTCTCTCAGTGTTGTAGTCTTCACTGTTGTCCTTGTCGTTCTGTGTCTTGTTCCAGGAAGTAAACAGGTTCGAGATGTCAGCCTGGTTGTGAGTGTGTGTGTGTGTGTCTGGCAAAAGACTAAAAGCACATCACATGACAGATGAAAAGACCAGTTCTCCTTTTATCTGACGTCCGTGACATTCTGAGGCGATTGCTTCTTAAGCTTCACCGATTTCCGCGCGCTTTTGTTTTGTGCACCTGGCAATGAAGAGAACAATGCAGGTAAACCTGTCCTCTTTGTTTTATAGAGAGCTCACCGTGTGTTTCCAAACACCCAGCCTCCYTACCTACACAGTGCAAAACGTGTCAGCGTGGATTGAATGAATGCCACAGGCAGTGGATGGCTGGTGCTCCCTGAACTGAGCATGAATTATTCTGAGTTAAGACTGGGCTTTAGAATCAACTCCACGTTCGGCTCTTCTTCGYGTCGGCATAATTGGCAGATTTTCATGTTTTGGGGCTCCTGTGTGTGAAAAGTGCATGCATAAAAGATATGCCTCAGAGTGAAAATGTGTAGCTTTCTGGCTCTCAGGATCCTTGAGTTCATGTTGGCCATGTTAAAAAAAAAAGAAGCACAGCCAGCAGTTTTTGACAATGATACTGAATTATTGAAACAATTCTGCTCTACTGGATCATAAACTCTATTCTTCAGATATTCTCCATTTCGTGTCTATTAATTTATGAATTTAATAATGTTGAATTATCTGATAGTCTTCTTAGTATTCAAAGTTTTAACAGTTTATCAAAAGATTAGATCTTGCACTTTAAATGATATCCTTTAGCACTGCTAATAATGTCATTAAGAAAGCTGATAGGCAAATCAGTTCCTCTTGTTATCACCCACAAAGAAAGCTGATCATGTAATAGTGCATGYACACTCTAATCTGTTAGCAAAATATCTAATGAACCAGAGGACAGATCTATATCACACTCTCAGAACTTACCCACTAGATGTACATGTACAACTGAATAAGTTTTGTAGTTAGCCAAATTCAARATGACCAGTACAGCTTATAAACCTTAGCAAACACAAAATTAGCTACAACTCAGTCAAATTTACAGACATTTGGCTCAAATCGGGTCTGGTAGAAGCTGAGACTCTTCCCCAACACATACTATGACACTCTCTGGTTGCACAATGTTTTATTTAAAATCTTTGTCATTAACTGTTGGAGTCAGTTTTGTCTTTCTGTTAGCAAAATATCTCATTAACCAATAGATTGATTTTGCTCAAACTTTCAGAAAGGAATCATTCGATGCACTTTTATAAYGGTTTACCTTTCAGAGTAAACCTTATCAAAGATGGCTTATTGAGCTTACCAAACTCAAAACTGGCTACACCTCGGTCAGTTTTATAGATACTGAGGTAAAATTTGATGTGGTAGTAGCCAATAGTCATCTACTGACTTTACGCACTAACGTCTAATGTCGTCTTTGCTTAAGCTTTAGCAAAGTTGCTAGTGAAGTGCATTCCCATAAAAAACTAGTTTAATTTTATATAAAGCTTTTATTGTGTAAGAAATGTATAAATGTGATTTTATAAAGCACTCTATACAACAGATAGATAAAAAAAATGTATTTCTCACTATCCCCAGTGCACTGTCGCTGTCTGTTGCATAATTAGAATCATGGCCGCTGGAAATAAAGCTGCTCGGTAACGGGTACTTCATATGTCGATGTTTAGTCTGAAACAGACCAGTGACTGTGTGACACATTTCGGCTGACACGTTCATCTGTCGCTAAGCAGGATGTCACTGAGATATGTACATTTATTTACCTCACCAGCTGGGTGGCCCGATTACGTCGCACACCATGAATCCTTGACACCTAATTTGTCACAATCTTTCAGGCTGAATCTAGGAATCAGTTCGGGCGGTTGTGAAAAACACAGAAGTTTTGCGTGTCGTTGGAGAATGTGCCAGTCTTTCTGTTTTGTGTGTGTGGACCTGTCTGTGAACTTCTTACACATACTTCTCCAGCCGTTTCATCAGTTACTCCAGTTTTTTAAAATTAATGTGGTTTCTCACTCCTTACATTAATATTTCACATTGCTGTCAAACTGAATTAATGAGCAAAATCAATAGAAACAGCTCAGCGTTAGTGGCTGAACCTTTAAAAGGATGTGGGATAAAGTACACCAATGATGAAATTAAATGGAAGATTTTAATTATCCCAGCTAACCCAGCGAAAGGGTAATAGTGATTACCTTATCTCAAGATTAAAGATGGCTGACAGTCAACTGATCCTAAAAACACAAAAAGAGTTGTGTTTAAGTCATTTTGGCTGATTTGGACCTAAATAATATATTCTGTTAGCAAAAAAATCTCATGAACCACTAACTAGATTTTAATTAAACTTTTAGGAAATRATCACTGGATGTATATCAACAACCCATTAACTTTTGGAGCCAACCTAATTAAAGATGGCTGCCACAACCAGCTGATTTTAGAAAACACAAAAATGGCTATAACTCAGTCTAGTTCATAGATATTACAGTAAGATTTGGTGTGAATGTAGSTGAGACTCGTTCACAACACATACTCCCAAGTTCTACTTTTTGCACAAGATTTTTTGTTTAAAACGTTACCTTAGTCAACCCTGTTTGTCTGTTAGCAAAATATTTCACAAACATATGGACTAATTTGTATAAATTTATCGGAAAATAATAGTTAGATATGCTTCCACAACAGAATAACTTCTGGAGATGCTTCGGTTCAAGGAGGCCATTACAACAAATTAACATTTACTAACACAAAAATGGCTATAACTCAAGTTTGACAGATTTTGAGCTCAAATTTGATGTGGTAGTAGCTGAGAGTGATTCACAACACACTTTGACCATTTAATCTTACAGTAACTCATGAGAGTGTTATTTTTTTAGGTGTAACAAAACTGACTACAACTCCCACATTTTTCAACCTAAGGTGATCTTAGTTTAAAATCCTGGCATGAAAGGCAACATGTTGCATTCCTTCAAAAAAAATGCTAAGCCTTTCATTTGAAGGTGTATTAAATAAGAAGAAGTCATAATGTTCTGTTTTGAAGCTAGTTTTCCAGAAGGCAAAGAATGTAAAGACTTTCATTCTTAATGTTCTGCGGGGTGTAGCTTTCTCAGAATGGCTGACATGAAAACTGAGGAAAAATGAAAATGTTTGTGTGCCTAGAAATAATTTCCTCCATGACATACCCTTTTAATTATGACCCCATGTACTGTTTTCGTACTGTTTTTTTTTTTGTTTGTTTTCAGTGATTTTTGGTCAACCGTACCCCAAAAATAGCTGCACCGATCAACATGAAATTTGGCAGGGCTGTAGATGAGTCCGACCTACACTGCGCCAGCCAACGGTTTTGTGATAGACCCCATATTTGAGGAGGGGG